AAGACTTGGTAGATGCTCTGTTTCTCCCAGTTTTTCCACATGATTTACTTTTTGGTGAGTTAGAGTTGCTATGGAGCAGGTGCCATTCCTGGCTCTGTTTCTGGAGGAGGAAGATGACCTACGTACACAGGGAAGATACCTGGGGGTGCGCTGGCACAGGGCACTCACTGGAGATTTTTGTGGAGATTCCATGGTTTGAGGGTTATATTCAAGGACAGATTCTGCAGTTTATTCAGGTTTAAGTACATAACTTATGAGTACTCCTCTTGATTTATACTATTTCTGAGAATGCAAGCCAGTTGTGTTCAGCAGGAGTTCCAGAATTTTGCCCTTCAGATTAAGCATTTAAGAGAAGATGTATATTAATTGTTAGTCTTCATAGATTTACGTTATTCTGCAAAATCATGAGCAGCATTTACTTGATTGTTTTGACCACAAGAGGTACTTGAATGTAAAATATAATTAGTTTCCTTGTTCATTTCTGTTGGAAAACCAAAGTAACAGTTGTAGATCATTGCCAGTTAGAGCATGTGTGTCTCCTAATGATTAATCTCCTAATTGAGTTCTTTAGAGAAGATATTTGCCATGGTTACTTCCAACTTCCTGGTGGTAGATCTGAAAGTTTTGAAAATCATATCATTAACTGTTTATCAGAACTCCAGTGTGTTGTTACTCTGTGTGTAACCCTCTGGTGTGTATGCATGGTCATAAGAGGAAGAGGTTTTAAATAAAGACCCAGTGAACCTTTCAGTGTTTGAAAATGTTTTACATATTTGTGAAGAAAGCATCATATGAGTGTCATGGATTATGTAATCAATATGTTAAGGTGCATTTCTGGATACTCTAAACAGTAAATGAGGAAGCAAAATGAAACTGTAGGAACATTAGGAAACAAGCTGGTTACAGTCAATTGAAATGGCTTGGAAAATCTGTTTGGTTTGTGGTTTGGGTTTTTTTTTTAAAACTCTCATCTACTGTAATTTATTCAGCTGTTTTTACCTAAAAAGATCAAATCTAGTGTGAATTTTGAAATGCAGATGTCTGCTGATAATGCTCATAAGCACCTGTGCATATGTGTTTATTGGTAATTTTAGAGATTTTTCAACACAGAATTAAAATAAATTACAAAGTTTTGTAGACCTGAGGCAAGATCTGTTAACAGTCTTTTACATTTGACATGAAGAAATTGTTTCTTATGAACAAAATAGTCTTTTGCATTCAGAAAGAACTGGTGAAATAATGTTGTTTCATGCTCTGTACACTACCTTCGCTTCACTCAGTTAATTTGCAGGTTTGCTTTAAAACTTCTTAAGAAGGCCCAACTGGTTGAAAGCATGAATGCTTAATATTTTAAAAATGAAGCAGATAGTCAGGCATGATGGCCTTCTGCAGAGTGCTTAGGTGAGCTAAAGTTGCTCAAAGTGTGGTGAATTCTGCAAGTACGGGTGGGACATATGGAATAGCTGCAGGCAGACTATGTAGCTGGTGTTATTTGGGTATGAGTGACATTTCAAATTGGACTACATCTGTTATTTACTTCCAGGAGAACAGAAGGTTACTCTGTAGTATCTTAAATCTGTTACTATATTTCTGACTCTTGCAAGTATTTCTATTATGTTTTACTGTGTAATTTTCTAGAATTTGAAAATGGTATGAAGAACAATACTACTATGTTATACTAATAAAAACAATGGTTACAATTTACAAGACCCTAACTGCTTGCAAGTTTAAATGTCTTGCACCTGGTAGAGTACTGAATTTTATTTACCTGAGTGTTTCTGCCTTCTGGTGGGGATAAGCAGGTGAACTTTCATATTCAGGTGTTCTTTTCACAATCTTCTAGTTTATTGGTGGAGAAAGAGTTAAAAGGATCTTGGGTTACAGTTGCCTTTATCTCTTCTTGCTACAATACAAGCTGGTTCTAAGGGGAGGTGTTGCCTTGTGCTCAGCTGGTAGCAGCATGCTGTGGGTTTTGTTCATTTAATTACTGTAAAGAGTCAGGCTAAGGATATAATCCCTTCAGGAGAAGGTGTTGGTGATGGAAAAGTAATTTGGCTCTCTGCAACTACTGCAGAGAAGACTTAAATAACAGTCTTGCCTTAGTTGTGATGCTTTAACAGTTGAAGGCTTTAACGCCTGCTTTGTTATTTTCACTATTGAAAAAATAAACCAAAACCCAAACCCAAGAAAAGCCCTGACTGTATGTAGTTGTAGAAGTGCTGCTAAACTTGTAATAAAGAGGGACAAGTTTATTGTCTGAAAACGGGTACTCAAGCTTTATCTTGAAATTTAGAGTTTTAGTTAAAGGGCATTGTGATACAGTGTAGTCCTACTACAGTCATTGTGGAAGTAAAATGTGTAGAAGCATTTAGAATACAGAAGTACTTGGTTTTGATATTGGCTTGATTAGGTAAGCAAAAATATCATAAATTCACCATATACATTTCAAAGCTTTCCTTTGGCACTCCCAAACTTGATTTTGTTCACAATATCAGCTTAGCATGATGAAAAGAGTGTAGTTGTGCTATACAGAAAAGTTTTTAGACTATTTATATAAGATATTGTACAAATAAAGAATTTACTGAAAACAGTGTGCTCTGTTAACCAAAGCTACTCTAGATAGCATACATCCATGAAAAAACCCAAAAACCTCTTTGGGAAATAATGACCAGAGAAACCATTTTGCAGAGCTGTCACGGTTGGAGAACAATATATTTAAATATACACATGGTCAAGCTAAAAGTTACAGCTTGCTTTTTTTTTTTTTTTTTTTTTTTTTTTTT